ACACTTGTGATGTGGGTTTGCAAGTGTCAGATCAAAAACAGCAGGATCACTGTTAAAATATCACTATACTGAGAGACCTTCAGAGTGTGTTATGTGTATGCTATCAGACTCTGCTTTACACTAACTTCAATTTCAAAATTCAAACTGTCACTCATCAGATTCCATCAGCCTCTGGCCAACTATCATTTCCCTTCATTTGATTATCTTTAACATTTAATATCTATATTTCATATCTTAATTTACAACCTGAAGTCAGTAGTAATTGATAGCATTGAAGTCTATCATACTTCACCTCAGAATTGCTGTTTCACATTCAAATTTCATATTTTAATTTCTAGATTCTGAAGTTAATAGCAAGTAGATAGCATCAGAGTATACTAAACCCTGATTCAGAATTAGCTACCACTAGTATGTAAGCTCTGTACAATTGCCATAGACACTCAGTTCAAATCTCAACTTAGTTCAGCCTAATAACTTTGTCCTCATCTCAAGTCCTTCTCTAAGTCTGATGGATTCTACTCTATTAGTGTATCTTATCTTCTATCCAACTTCTCTGTCTCCAATAGACTCTATTTTATCAGCTTGATCCTTTGGGCTTCAACTCAAGAATGACATTGCTAATAGCTTCACTAAGATCCACACATTCTGCCAGTTTCTATATATGCAATTAACTTCATTTTATTGGCACATTTCTAACAGAGTGACATATGTTGGAAATTTTCACAGTTTTTATTTTAGAGGATAACTTTATCATTATCAAGTTCTACAACAGTAAGTCCAACTACACTATATTTCTTGGCTGCTTTGATGCATAACTCCTTGCCTCAGCTGATACCTTGTATCTCAGAGGTGAAGGGTGACTCTGAGTATTTTTGACCATCAAAATTCCTCACTAATCACTATCATCAAATAAAGAATACATGATAATAAAAGCATTGCACTTGTAGTGAATAAGAGATGCCTGATAAGGAGACCCATCATTCAAATAAAAGTATACTGTGTTTCAACCATCAGCATATGTTTAGCTTGAATATTCAGCAATATATTGTATTTTTAGACATCTTGTTTATATGTGCAGTGCTTTAACTGAGTGTCCTCTCTATATTTTTGAGGATTTCCTGAGTAAACCATCTTTTATTGAGAAAAATCTCAACAACTGGCTCTTCTCAAATATTATAAGGGATAGTCTGTGATCTATATGCATGCATAGGAGGATGAGCACCATTACTAAGATACTTCTAAACACTACACTTTAAAATGCTTCTCACCATAAAAGTTTATCTACAGATATTTAAAACCAGTTTAAATCACATCATAAATTGGTGAGAAGGAATTAACTTTACTTGTTTGAGTGGCTACAAGACAGGAACACCACTGTATTTCTCTTCAGAATCATTACAATAATGACATTCATCAATATATGCTTCAAGGTAAAGGCTAGCTACATAATTAATATGAGCATGAAGTATGAATTAAGCACTGTAAAAACTTGCACTGCAGTAAGGAACAGTGCATTGAATCTCATTCAGAGATCATTCAGCATCATAGCACTTAATGCTATCAATCAGATTATTTGACACCAGCTCACAGGACCAATATCATTTTCAGTACTATTAAAGCACTGAGCAAGATACACCATATAATGGGATGACATTTGGTTCATGTTTTAGAGAGCTAGCAAGTCTTCCACCCTTGCTATTCTGGTTCTGGATATATCATCTATTAGATATATGAGATTCTAAAGTGATTTATTACCTTGCCTTTGATGAATGCTGGTATATACTTTGGCTTCTCATTTGCATCCAGAGACCATTTTCCCTCATGGTTAGTCAGATTGATGTGATATGCTAATATTCTACAAATGTTAAATAACCAGTTGAAGTCTGTTGAAGAGGTTTTTTGTATGCACAAGGTGAAAATAGATACAGCAGTGCTATCCACTGATCACACTCATATTAACACACAGACAATACTTCTTAGTTTGTTAGAGGATTATAATGTGATAAGAGCAGTTATAGCAAATGTAATTGTCTCTCCAATTATCCACTGCATACAAATAGCAATAGCCCAAGTATAATGATCCTAGATCTCTATAAGTCTGAAGGCTTTTTGTTTAAAACAAGAGGTGGAAATGAATGTTGCCAGGTCTCAAGGCAAAGAGTACTGTATCTCAATACAATATGTCAAAACACTCCTACAAAACTCTCAAAAAGGTCCCAAGCACTGCTCAGATCAATTTCAAACCTATAAAAAACATAATACATGACTCAAAGCTTTGTGCTTTAACCAGAAACACTTCACAAACATGTCCACAAGTGCTAAAGAGTTCAAATTTCTGTGCACAAGTTTCTAAACTGATCATAGACCCACAGGATTCAAACTTATGTGATCCAGACACAAAAATGCAATAAAACCCTGTCCACAGATCCAAAGGGTTCAAACCTCTGCTGATCTGTGGAAATAACACAAATAACCCTGTCTACAGGCCAAAGAGTATGAACCTTTGCCAACCTGCAGAAATAACCAAAAGTAAACACTAATCAAGCCAAAGGGTTTGAACCTCTGCCACCTATAGCATGTTACATCACAAATACCTCAAAAACTCAAAAGAGTGCTCTTTAGACACTGCTCTCTTATTCTTAGGCTAGAGTGCAATTCAAAACCTCTTATTAAATCAAACTAGAGTCCCTCACAAGCATCTGTGCCTCACACAATTTTCTCTCAATGATATTAATAAAGTGGTCTATTCTCTGACCTGAAGTTACAAACACAAACCCAGAGCTAGAGTGCAAGGCTTTCTGTGCCCAATACACTACAACTGTGGGGGGTCAGAAACTTACCTACTACTCTTACAATGCAGTACTTAAATAGTCTACTACTGTACTTACTAAGACACACTAAATATAGTAGTTTCAAAGTGCAGGACTCCAGAATGGAGTCCCTGGCATATCATTCACACACATGTTACAGTCTGACATGCATATTCTGCTCCAGGTTAGGACTGCCTTTTGTTTCTATGCAACCTGACACTGGTTATCTCTGTTAGTGGTGTAGCCACTGGTCTCTTCACTTTGTTATCTCACCAGGGCAATTAACCCATGCACAGGAGTTATTTCTGGTCATTTCTTCCCCAAATCTTCTCATTTCTCAGTCAATCTCTCTGATATTTGGGTTTATCTCATTGTGCACCAATGCTCTGTTCTAGAAGATGTCCCTTGGCAATTTAATACCTATGCATCATTGATCAATATGATGCAAGGTTGTGCACAAAGCCCTGATTGTATTTTGATCATGTGCTCTTTATTTTTAGTGGGTCTTTCTGTACTTGTATTAGTACATTTAGTGTCAAGTGCTGGGACCTCATGTGCAGTATGACCCTCTCTGATGTCATCCTGCTGCTAGGCCATGCTCTCCACCCATCATCACTGAAGCCAGCTGTCATACAAGTCCCATTTTACTGTGCTCTAGCCATATTCTTTATTGTGCACATAGTTGACTGTGATACAGTCAATGTATTGTCATAATTCGCAAAATTACATGCCTGGACATGCAGTGAGCTTGTCACTGTTCAGACCACATGATGTTCACTGGTAAGCATTCCATAGCCAATATATCAGGTGTTGACTCTGATGTTTTATGATTGAGATACAATATATGAGAATTAGGATAGGAGCCATGGAGAAGGCCTGTTTTGGTTCTGCTCAAAGGAATGCTTCACAAGATTGGTTAAAATATCAGATACATAATAGACAAGAGCAATGCTCCCCCTGAAATACAGGAACTCGGTGGGAATCAAACAGATTGAAAAAGGTACCGCACTTCTATCAAACTATGTAACACTCAGCCGCTGAACTAAAGTGCCACATCCATCCTTAATAATGATAAAGTGACACGGAAGGGTTATTCATATCAGCGGCTTACCTTCTTACAGTCATTATCCCATCCCTTTTAGCTATTCAATGAATGATTGTTTTCCAAGCAAGGTTAGGTGGCGCGAGTACCACTTTGCGCAGGGCCAATGAATCTTGGTGCATCGGCCCAGAACAATGGTCTTGCCTCGAAATACGTGAACTCGGTGGGAATTGAACCGACAAGAAAAAACTTCCGTACGAACTTCGCAACACGTAACCGCTCAACTAAAGGGCCACGTACGAGTACGTTCTGGATGAACAAGAAAGATAGAATGTTTGCTCTATGCATCTTAGCGGCTTACTTGCTATTCCGACGAAACTGGTGCTCAATACGATCTCTTCTCCAAAATTTGAGTTCATTGACAAGTTAGGGTAAACATGGAACCGCATCCCTCCTTAGGCTGGATGTTCGGCGGGGGGCTCCGATAGCTGTGGTATTCCATCTTTGTGTCTAGAGAACTTGACAGAGCGTGCTCTAGATTCATAAGACACTTTAGTTCATACAAGCCTCACAATGTGCATACATTATTAAACATAAAAAGCATGAATACTACAAGTAAATGATACCGGCGTAAGACACGCGCTTCGCGCTAAGAAAATGATGCGGAGGCACCGACCAATCGAAATTATCGCAACGTTACCTACTAAGCCGTGCTCGGTGTTTAAACAGCCACATTGGCGACGTCTCTTCACCAAGCGCGCAGCACCATTCATGTCGTTGTCATGGTATGATCCCGAAAAACGATATTGCTCACTCGTTAGTGCGAATATCGGCCATCTGAAAAAAGGGTTTGTAGTCCATGTAGAAACGATGCCAGAGAGAACTGTCAGATCGTCTGCACTAACGATGATATTCTGCATGGAGAAGTCTCGGTGATGAGGGTTGTATCTATTGCGGGGTCGGTGGAACGGTTCATGTCATTGATTAAGGAACATACGTGGCTCCTTCGGGTAGGAGTATAGAATTCGGATGATTGTCGTAGTGCAAACCGCGTGTCTCCTCTGGCAATAGTGGAAAGCCAATCTGAAGCATTAAAGAGGAAGGGAGGGACCACATTTATTGGGATCAGGAGCGATATCGGCATTGACCCCAGTCTCAGTCGTAACCATTGGCCTGATAAAAAAATGTCTCTGGCTGCCGTATATGCTACCAACGTAAAGAAAGGATGTTTCAGTATTGGTCCTCCGACAGCGAAAGAAGGTTTGGGCTTCTGTTCGTAGCTGAGGTATTCATACACTGAGCTGGCGTGCTGCATCCTACCCGTCGACATACGAGAATTGTTGGGTCCGATCGTCGAAGAGATTAACAAGGTCCATTATCATCCGGGGCCCGCCTACTCGACCATCAAAGTCCAGGTTGTACGCTGCCACATCGGGCACAGGTATTGATGTGTGTGTTTCTTCAGGTATCGTAACATCGCGTTGGGATCTATGTTCCATCCAGTAATGTGATATCCTGAAAACAAGGTCATTCTTGGCCGTGGTTTCATGACCAGTTTGATGAGAAGCGATGAAACTCTGTACAACCGAGCCTATTTCAGAATAGACTAACTGAACAAGAAGCGAGCATCGTTTGGATGCCAAACAGTAACAAATACTCAGATGGCTTCCTCCATCACTGCGCGCGCAGCGTTCGCTGCTTCTCCTCCTCCTGACCCCCACAGCTCCGGGAGAAGAAAATGAGACTCGAATGCTTTCGCTTTGTGCCAGTCTTGCTGCTCTGTTTTGTCGACGCCATCCTGGGGCAGTCATCAATGACAACGAGTGGCACAGGAAGCGTTACTGGGACGTCCCTTAGCGAGAGTGCGACAACATCATCGATCTCAACGACGAGTAGGAGTAGGAGCACGAGCAAGAGTGGGACCTCGAGTGCTAGCTCGACGGTCTCGGCGGATCTACCGACTCTGAGTGGATACTCGACTTGCGGTGCGTCCCAAGCCTCTCCATTCCATTCCTCGTAAATCTAACGAGCTCGTTTTCTTAGTAACCTATTGCTTGGAGCTGTCCATTGCCGACGCCAACTGCACTAGTGTAGCAGATGTAAATTGCTTCTGCCCAAGGTGCGTCGACTACTTCGTCTTTCCCTTCTTTGTAGCTAACACTCGGTAAAGCTCCAACTTCACGTCCGAACTCACAGACTGCATCGTTCCGGAATGCCCGAATGAACTTCAGACAGCAGAGACCCTTGCGCAGAGCTTTTGCGGGTTGGCGTCGACGAGCACGTCATTGTCATTCAGTGTCACCTCCATTTCTTCCTCTAACGCGACCTCCTTGGCACTATCAAGTTTCAGCGGCTCTACGACAGCTACTGGTTCCAGAACCAGTAGCGATCCATCGAGTTCGACGATGTTGTCGTCGAACGCGGCTTGGGGTACGAAGATGGAAGCGTGGGGTGCATTTGTTGCCGTTTTGTGTGTTGTTGTGAGCAAGGCGGTCCAATATTGACTTGAGAAGCTACGCTGGGACTTAGGGCTATTCTTCGTTTCATTCGGACTTGGGCATTGCGTGTTCTTACTTACATCTATATAGTTACTAGGTCCTTATTCATCGGCATTGCTGGAACCATCATCGTTCTATACCATAGATGTCCATCTTCTGTCGTAGCGAACTCCAATTTCGAGGAAAATACCGTCGGAACCTCACCAATGCAATCTTAGATCAGAAGAAATATTCGCTCAGGAATGGCGGCCAGGACGTTACGCACGGCTTCCTCGGCCATTCGTGCAACGGGCAAACATATTTCGCTGTAACCATGAGGATATATAACTTCTATTCTTGCATGACAGAGGGTGCTCGATTTCAGTTCCTAGGACGAAACGAAGGATATGTGAACGGAAATTTTCTTTCCGAGACAGGCCCTTGCTACTGGTTTCCTTCATGAACTACGTTTTCCGGGGCTATGGGGCCTATCACGTGTTGCAGAAAGTTCATACTAATCATTGAACAGAATAATATAGCGAAATACCAGTCCTTCCTATCTTTCACGCCGGCGACGGTACCATCTCATCGACACGGCTTCCATCTCTCTCTCTACGACAATAGCGCCGATAAAAGTACAAGTTCTCGTCTTTCTTCCTACGAGGCAACGAAGCTGAGTCCCTAGCTACTCGGACCACTCTTCTGCATGGTTCCACGATGTCCATCAGGGTGTCAACCTCGTTCTGATTCTACATATTGTGGTCTGCTCTGGACCTGGAGACCTTTTTGTGTCGAAGCCGTGGGAGGACCCTTGGTTTTTCCTTCCGGTATTGGAGCGCCAAGGTCAAGGATAACGCTTGTGATGAGGTCGACGACGAGGAAGATTCATAGGACATTCACTTTGGCAACGATACCATATACTATTGTTTCTCTAAGTTAGTGGACCTTTCGACATCCTGGAGGTCGGTCAAGCTCATCTTGGCTATGAATCTTCTCTCAGGCCTCTCCTTAGTCAGAGGAGAAGTAGATAAACTCGAAGAGGTTTATTTGTGCTGTCTTGGATCATAACCTCTACCGCAGAATATCACTGCGTTCGAGATAGCACCAAAACTTGGAACCCTCCATCTCACAAACATGCATTCAGACACTATTGTCAGACAACCTTGTCTCGTTTCTCGATCATAGAGAGCTTCCAGAACACAGAGGCTGTCCGAGTATCTACATCAGCACCTAATCTCTCGTCATTTTCGCGCCATCACTACGGTCTCGTGCCAGAATCTGATGGGAGGAGGTTTCTCATGTCGAGGATAAATCAATTCAGCAGCTCTGGGAACGTTCTTGTCCGCGCTCGTCTTAACGGGCTTGAAGAACATGACTCTCTCAACAGGCCCCATCGACACGAAGTTTCTTTACCCCAAGGAGTTCTACCCTTGCTCCGACGACGCCCTCTCGGAGTTTCGTGGATTGATCACTACAAGTGTTCCTTGGCGAAGCTTTCATCTCACAGACGTCACAGTAAATGAAAACAATAGATGAAAACCTGGTTCTCCATTATCAAGCTATCGCCCCAACTCGAGACCCTCATCATCGAATGGTGAGAAAATTCAGGTCCTGATATCAATTCACTTTTTCGCCGTATGTCCAAGACTGTTCGTATAGGGGCGACCCGCCCCCATTTGGGGCCACACTCTGGTTCCTTGGTTTGAAGGAGCTGAGAGGATCATATCATGCGGGGAGAATAACACCAATATCAGGTGCTTGTATCGAGTTTTTGTGAAAATGGCGGGGGTAAGTCACGGAGGAAATAGCGTGTGCCGTCATCAAATATTGAAAAAGGTCGTTGTGGATGTTGCGGGGAGTAGATGGTACGTGACCTTCATATGGAATCCCCAGCTGAAGCGCTTGCAGGAGGGGGGGTGGACCTGATTTTCAGCTGATTACTGATTTTCCTTATTGGTATCGAAGATATATACAGGAACTAGCTGCTATCTGGTAAATGTTCTAATTAATGTCCCACTAATAAATGAAGCAGGGACTGGTACAACTCCTGAAAAATCTTGCGAAAACGTCCAAGTGATGGGACTGTACATTTGTGTACTTCTTCGGATATGTATCTGTCTGGAATATTAGAGCGACGACTGGGCTCTAGCTCGAGAGAACCGGTGACGCTGAAAATCATCTCATTCACAGAATTGGGATCCTTGAAGCCCAGCTGCATTTGGTCCTTGCAGTACCGAAGTTCAAATGGAGGTTCGTCCCCTCGTCGACGGACGCTTCGACAGGCGAGCTCATCCTGAGGAAAGAAGTCGTTTAGCTGCGGTATACAGTCCATGATCTCGCTGTTGGTTAGGTGTCGCAATACGAACGTGAGATCAACTTTTATCGCAGCAGAGCCTAATGTGTTTATTTTGAGTTTGAATATGAGGAACAAGGTGGAGATGCACCGTTTTGGGACAATAAGAGACCTCAAATACCATTGTTCCCTGGATCCTGAGATATTATTTCCCTGTTGATTCTTCGGAGATGATCGACAAATCCATGTTGTATATCTGGGAAGTCGATGAAATGCCTTTGAAAGAACTGGACTCACGATTTTCAGTTGTTTGTTGGTAGGAAAATATTCGATGCCGCGTATATCTAGGCATATCTGGGAGCACCAGAATTCACTACACTAACATACAATGACGGGTTTGTATTGTTTTTATCGTCAGTGGGTTATTATGCGCTCGTACGTACGGATTCCATCCCATATACCTGCCGAGCTAGTTCATCTCTTCATTTTTTTTTGAGTCACAAACCGTGAAGGCGGTTAATCACTGAGTACATTACGATCCTATGGATCTTCGCTTCGCTGACTGTTGTATAGATGCCGTACCGGGACCCTACGTTCCTATTTGACATTCTGCACCCATTTACTGTATGTCCGATCATCGCAGCACACCCTAAGTCAGGATTCGCTATTCTCTCGACTGGACTCGACTACACCGCTACAGGCCCCTTCGAATCGGCAATAGCGTGAGTTACTCTCTTTGTGTTACCGATTAATCAGTCGTCATTTCTTAGTTGGCCCGAAACTGATGATTGTGGTTTCAATGGAGAGTACTGTACCATCATAGACTGGGACGCTCTGGTACAATGCAAATACAATGATGATAGTGGTTGTTATTTTTTTCTCCCCAGATGCTAACATGCAGTTCTCCAGGTCTGGATTATTTTCACTTTTTGCTAGATTCATTTGCTAAGAGACAGCACAGATAAATTTGCCTGGACCTTTTATCACGTCCCTGCATTTCAGTATAGGCTTTACAGGACCATATATTATTTCACAGACATATTTGATCTTGTTCCAGATCCTTTAAATTCTCTGATTGCCTGCCAACCAACCTAACTGATTGTCTATCTGGTTTGACCCTCATAACTGGGATGGCCAGTGTAGTCCCTTGTGCACTAAACAGATTATCTGCACACAGGATGGCAAGGGGTGCATGACTCTGAATCTGAAGGACATGAAGAAGCATGTAATGGATGTTCACCTTAGATTGGATTACATCAAGTGCTCACACTGCTTGCCTTTATTGAAGCAAATGTTGATACTGATGGCACATATGAAGGCATCTCATTAACTGAGGACTTGGAGGTGAGAAGAATAAGGACTTAGCATAACAAGGTTGATGAAGATACAATGCTGTATCCATACAACTACACATTTAGATCAAAGAATGTATGAAGAAATGTGTTCAATTCAAATCTTCAAATTCCTGTGTGTTTCATTTATCAAACTGATAGTAATCTCTTGAGGATGACACTCATTTGTGGTTTTAACTTGCCTAGAAGAATGACTCCGACCTTATCAGTTTTGGCAACCATCACAGAATGATATATCAATGTTTCATTGCCTTGAATCAACTTGCTCATTCCAGCCAGATTCCTCATTTAGTCTATATTTGTCACAATTAACATATGCCTGAGAGTCTCTGAATTGAAAACTTATGTGGAGAGAAGAGAATTAGTATAGAGTTTTGAATGACAAAAATTGATCATGGAATTTCCAAATGGCCAGAACAGTTATTATACATAGAATGGTCCTCACTATGATCCATGTTTTAAACTGTGGAGGTCAGGAAGAGTCAGGATGTGAATTCTAAAAGCTAGGAGAGTGTTTACTGGAATGAGCAGGAACAAGATTACATTGAGGATGGCAGCAATGGAGGTGATGTTCAGGTCTGAATCATCATTAAAATCTCCAGAGTCATGTCATGATTTTAGTCCCTAAATCATGCCCAGCAATGGCTTGGTTTGAGATTGCCAAGATTTTCCTATACAGTATTTAAGTCAGTAGTATACAGTAATGTACTCTAGTCTTAAGCTAGGTCTATATACTGACTAAACTCTTTGATCCTTGGTGTGACTACCTCTGTTCCTCTCACACTGATGGATGTATTTTACTGACCTCTTTATCTCATCTCTATTTCATCTCTATCTCACCTCTATTATCCTCATTATCTTACTTTATCATCAGTTAATGTCAGACTCTGTGCTTAGGCATTTGTGATTGTTTGTGATTGCTTGACATTTAGCTTGATACTTCTCATACCCTGGTCTGAAGACCTTTGGCTCAGAACAAAGTTCATGAATATGTCACAGAGTGGTGACAAGAAGTGGCTGGAGGGTCTAAAAGCACATTACTGGTAGATGAGGCATACTCAGGTAGCTGATGCACAGTGGGTAGCCTCAGAGGAAGAAGGAAGGTACATTGGTATGGCTCCATCCAATCAACAGTTTATTGATGGGATGTGAGTATATACATACAAGAGACTATCAAAGCCAAGAAAGAAGGACAGCATCCTGAAGTGGCATATCCCTACATATCACCATTCCAAATACTGCACCAGCCACTATTGACTATGAGAAGCAAACATAGCTGGGGTAGCTGAAACTCTTTCTATGAGTATTCCAAGTTGTTGCTGCCATTATTGAGTGGCTTATTCACTGGTGCTGGACAAGAAAATGCTGACACAATCTGAACATATCCATGCATGTAATTTTGTGAAATACAGTACTACATGCTAAGTACAAAAGTACTATAAAGCATGTGAAGCAAAATAGAGCTAGAGTGCAATAAGAAGAAAGGCTATCCATGATGGGCTTGAGTGACAATTGGTGAAGTATATGACTTAGCTTCAGGATGATACCAATAGGTCACACTGCACAGAAAGTCTCAGTACTTGACACTGAATGCACTGACAATAGCACAGAGCTTGTACACTAAGAATGGAAATCACATGGAACTATGGATATGATCTTGCACATGAGAAACACTGCACATGATCTTTGTGAGAGACTATTATGTGAGAGACTCTGTACAGGACCTTTGAACAGGACTTTGTGCAGTACTGATGTATGACACATAACTATGAGATGGATTAATTGATGTGCTCTAGGCCATAAATGACACAAATTATGAGTAAAAAGAGAATATATGGGCACTTGGCTAGAGAACATATCAATTGTGTGTAACTCCAGATATGAGAGATAACCCTGGGGCCTGGAACAGATCCTAGAGATGGCAGAATAATCTCAAGGAGATAAAAAAGCAAAGAGAGCTGTGGCTAGACCCACTAACAGAGCTAACCAATGTCAGATTGCATAGAAACAGAGGGCACAGTCCTGACTCTGAACAGAATATGCATGTCAGACAGTGACATGCATGGAAATGACTTGTGAGGGACTCCAGAATGGAGTCCTGCACATTGAAACTACTATATTAGGTTTCTCTTAGTAAGTACAGTAGTAGCCTATTTAAATACCACATTGTAAAAGTAGTAGACAAGTTTCTGAACCTCCACAGTTGCAGTGTATTGGGCATGAAGGCATTGTGCTCCAGCTCTGGATTTGTGTTTGTAACTTTGGGCAAAAGAATAGACCTTTATTGATATCTTTAAGAGAGAACTGAGAGCTGCACAGGCACAAAAGCTTGTGAGACACTCTAGTCTGAGAATAAGACAGCAGTGTCTGAAGGGTACTCTTTTGAGTTTTTGAGGCATTTGTGATGCAAGGCACTACAGGTGGCAGAGGTTCAAACTCTCTGAATCTGTGAATGAGATTTTATTGTGTTTTTGTGTCTCTGAATCACATAGGTTTGAATCCTGTGGGTCTACAATCAGTTTGAAAACTTGTGCACAGAGGTTTGAACTCTTTAGTACTTATAGACATGTTTGTGAAAGGTTTCTGCTTAGAGTACAAAGCTTTGAATCATATATCATGTGTATTAGAGATTTTGAGTTGATCTGAGCAGTGCTTGGGACTTTTCTGAGGGTTTTATAAGAGTGTTTCCAAGTATTGTATTGCACTACAGTATTCTTGCCTTGAGGCCCAGCAACATTTGTTGCTCCCTCTTGTTTTTAATGAAACCTTTGAGACTTAGAGAGAGCTAGGACTATTATACATATGTGATTGCTATTTGCATGCAGTGGATCATTTGAGAAGAAAATTATACTTGCTATAACTACTCTTATTGCATTATAATTTCTCAATGAACTAAGAGTAGTTTGTGTGTATATTGATGAGTGTGATCAGTGGATAGTGCTCTGCTGTATCAGTTTCCACCTTGCATGCATGCAAAACCTCTTCAATAGGGTTCTCTTCCTTTAGGTACTCTATGGCCTTTTCAGGCCAGAGCTTCCTCTCAGGAGCTCTGTGGTGTTGAGGCATTTCTTTTCTGAGGCTTGATGACAGGACTTCTGATATCTGATCTGCCTGGTATTCATCTCTAGTTGATTCCTGTGTTCCTTTTTCAGCATTGGGTGGAAGAATGAAACACACCTTATGGGATATTGCTCACTCTGTTCAACTCTTCTGAGCACTTGAGTTTTTGCTTTCTTATATACTGTTTTTTGTTTTTGAAGCAGTAAGTATTTATTATGGGTACCTACAGAAACCTTTTTAGTATCAGTAGTTATAATGTCCAGTTTGGAATGTGCTAAGTTAGTATCATCTGCTTGGTTCAAGAAAATGTTGATAGTCTGCCTGCATATGTGCTGAGGGACTAGTTGCCAATATCCTCCTGGAATGTGGCCTCTTCTCCCTTCTCCCTTTCTTTGCCTATAGCTTTATCCAATTCTTCCTGTACTTTGTGGTTAGCCATTTTCTCCTGATACATCTAACTCAGCTGTTTTCATTCATCATTCAAGAACTTCATTTCATAGATGTTGCATGAAGCAGGAGTCTGGCTTCCACTCTGTTGTAAGTATAGAGTAGAATAGAGAGGATTAGATTAGCCTCTTGAGAAGAGATATTCTACTTAAATACATTTTGTACTACTTTGAGAGCTTT